TAAAAACCTTACTTAGTATAAATAGAGTTAAATGCACTATGAACAAAACTATATTTCATTGAAAGGCAGCCAGAATTTGTATTAGATATTACTGATCTTGCCTTTGCTTTCCTTAAGATCTGGATCATAATTGCATAAATTTGTTTGGTTAATAATTTTTCTTCTATATTTGAGATGCCTTATGCGTATCAAATTATAGCAAAACATGAAGCAGAGAGCTATGATTTGATCAATGTTTTTGAGCATAAAAGAGAAAGTTTCCTTGAACTGACCTCAACTCATTGTGTCTTCACAATCAACTTTTATCTTCCACATATTATTTGATGTCTAGATGTGCACATCAAAGTTTAACCATAATTGAGTCAAACATAATTTGCTTAAGTTCACAGGTTAATCCATAAACTCCAATTTACAAAGCAGAGTTCTTACCACAACCCAACTAACCACATTGCTATGGCCTGCTAAAGATAAGAGATAATTTTGAAAAGGAGCAGAGAAACATCATTTTTAGAAGAGGACTGAGGTCATTCATACAAAAGCATAGTGTATAACAGTGGCATATGCCTCCATCTTGTTTTGTTATTCAGTAGTGAGGGAAACCTATTGAATATGATTAAAGAAATACCATCTTTGATGTTTCCAAACTCAAGCCTTAAAAAATGTTTCCTAAGAGCCATGCATAACACTCAACTTCATAATTACTTTTCTTGCTGTATTGAACTAGACTGCTACACTAGGCTAGAAATCAGGAGCCCAGGACTTCTAGTTTTCCCTTTGACACAGTCAACTGAGCCAATCACTCACCCTCAGCCCCAAGAAGGAGGAAATGGCAAACCACTTCCCAAAATCTTGCCAAGGGACATGCAGTTGTGAGGAATCACCACTGACTGAAAGGTATATGCACACACAGTATTGACCTAAGCCAGTGGTTCTCAATTATTTTCTGTCATGCCCCCCTAGGAAGAAGAAAACATTTCGCGCCCCCCCGCGTGACTGTCTATCCAATCGGGTCCTTTGCGTGTGTCACGTGCGTCCAATATGACAGTATTTGCCGAGGTCAAACGAGCCCCCCTTTACAGAGCCTCGCCCCCCCCCGGGGGGCCCGCCCCACTATTTGAGAACCACTGACCTAAGCCAATTATGAATGTTGTTTAGCATCTTCTTTTCAATACAATGAATCTGTTTTCAAGAATTGTTAAAATAAGTTTTGACAAAACAATCAGAAAGTTTTGAGCAGCATATGTGCAAGTAGGATTTTATTTCAGTAATAATTGCTTTCTTACCACAATAGTTAACACCACCTAATTTTGATTTTTTTAAAAAAACTAAACATGATCATATGGAAGACTATTTAGAAATCCCATAGTTATTGGCTGGACTAAATAGCAAAAGAATAAGTATTGATAGAAAGCAGTAGCAAATATCTGTCCTCTTGTTGCAAAAGAAACCAAGATGGACTAATCCATACAGACATCTTCAGTTGAGCTTAAGTCAAGAGACTATTTTTAATTGCTTTTTTCAAGTAAAAAGGCCTATGAAAAATAAAGGAATTGTATTGGACCTGAAATTAGTTGCTCACAAAAGCCCAGACCACGCATCATTCTTTCATTAAGGGACCAGATGCCTTCTTTTGTTAACAGCAAAAATGCTTACCTAATTTTGGAAGCTTTCAGAAATATGCAATATACTTTCACTCTCACAACTCCTAGCAATTAACATGCAGTATTTGCTGAGAATTTGTGGAGCTGGACCATACATCTGAGGAATACCAGGATGGAGAAGTCTGGTTCAAAGTACACACTTTTATAATTTCCAGCCGTTTGGAACATATTTTTTGGGAGTTTTTGTGGCAATACTTCCTGCAATGTGTGACAAGTTGCTAATTTAGTATAGAGCTAGTACAGACACACTAGAATAATTTGCAGTTTCTTATTTTTTTACTTCAAAAATAGTAAGGTTGTAGATTTGTCTGACTTATGCAGTTGACCATCTGTCATCAACATGAGTTTTTTTTAAAAAAACCTTCTGCCTGGATGTGATGGCAAGCAAGAAGTATTGCGCAATGACATAGTTCAAAACAATTTGGCAAATGCAAATATTTTGAGAAGCACTTCACTTTTTTTATTAAGAATGCTCTGTTCTCTTGTTTAAGTACGGAGCTTTGTACTTGGAGTGCATGATGAGCCTAAGGTACAAGCGTAACATACTGGTTTCTCTTGTTAGGCTAGTCCTAGGCTGGGCACACACACACATAAATACAGACACACACATATGGAGCTTGACTGCTTGTAATTAAATTATAAAGAATTCAAATAAGGAAGAATGCATAACGTTAATACCTTCTATTAATACCATGTGCTTTTCTTGAGTGAATTAATCTGTAGAATTGTCAGTGTGCCATAAAATATTAAAAATCATTTGGAAAACAGAAATATAAATATATCTTTCTCGCTATAGCGTGCTTAAAGTTATATGCAGTGTTGCAACTTTTTGCCTATTAAAAAGTGTGATTAACAGACTAACACGTGAAACATCTCAGGGATTAAGAGTTAACCATTGTTCCTTGTTTGCTCTGTTGGGCAGGAAGTTTCTATGCTTTAATATGTAACTGATTTAGCAAAAATGTGAAATGAAGGAACACAGCTAAAAGTAGAGCAATGGTTATCCTTTAAAGTGATTATCAATTACATTTTAAAAAAAATGAATGCAGAGAACTGAACTTCACACACTATTCTAATGATGGGAGAAGAAAGTAACAAGAACCAAAAATTAAAAATCAATCTACTTTAAAGGCAACACTGAAAAAAAAGTGTTCGTTAAGAGATTTCCTGTGGAAATACCATACCTTCAATGAGGGAAAAGTGAAAAAATCATGCTAGAATGAATGTTTTTATACAGGATAATCATACTAAGATCAACTGAATTTGGATACACTCAATTTAGAGTTTATTCAGGGCAACAGCATTTGGTAATAAAGAGCGACATAGAGATCCTGGTTTAAAATTTATGGCTATAAAATGAAGTAATTACTGTAGTTAAAGTGTAAAATAAAAATGTCTTCTGAAGATTAGCAAAGGCATTATTGTGAATGGTGCACAAAATATTTCAAATGTACAATTTGTGCACAAAATATTTTAATCTCAAAACATTTTGCATGCATCTAATTGTGATAAAAGACTTGATATACAGTATATCGCAGCAGTCCTCAACCTGTGGCCTGTTGGCCACTGGGCAGCGTGAGTGGCTGGCCAGTGAGCATGTGTGTGTGCGGTTACCCCCCACTCATGCTAGCATAGCTCCGAGGGCCGCGCGGGTGCTAGCGTCCCTGGAGGGTCGCAAGAATCCGTCATCACAAGAGTTGCTGAGAGGATCGTGTGGGCGCTAGCGTTTCCATGAGGGTTGTAGGCGTGTCGCCATCAACATTGTGCATATACTCGTGGCCCCATTTGCATCACGCACATGCTCGCAGCTCCGTTTGCAGCACATGCACGCAGCCCCATTCGCATGTGCGCGTGCGTGCATACAGGTGCCAACAACCAAGAGAGGTTGGGGATCTCGGTAATATCGCACTGAAATGTTCTCCTAATAAATAAGATAACCATAGTACATTGGTAGGGAAGGAAATGAAATAAAATTGCTGGGGTTAAGTGTTTCTTAACCCCAGCAATTTTAAAACTGGTGGATTTCAGCTGCCAGAACTGGGAGTTGGCTGGGGAAATCTGCAGAAGTCTTAAAATTGCTGAGGATAAGAAACAGTGAATTAGAAGGAAATTATATCAAATTGATAGAAACAAAAAGAACAGACGAATGATGATGTATATTAAGTCCTGGCATTCTTTAAGTTAGCCTATCTGTGGTAACTTGGTTGACATGCTGCTGTTTCATCCAGTTAAAGGTTACAGACATTAAAGTTTTAGTAGCATATAGATTATTATCATAATAATATATACATTATTATTACTAGGTTAGATTTTGCTTAAATACCCAATTATATTTGTGAGATAAAATGCATAAACCACAAAAAAAAACTGACCCATAGACTCCTGCATTTTGAGGGAAAATAACCCAGTTCTTTTTTTATTAAAAAGAGAGAGAAATGTGGAACTTGCTTTGAAAAGGATAAAAAAAGAAAACTGCCTATCCCAGACACACATAGTGCTGCTCTATCCATTTCAGTCCTTGGTCCATCTAAAATGTTATTCATTAAACATTGATCTTAAAGTATTACATTCTCCTACATTCACGTCAGTAACATTTCAATTTCTAGAATATCTTTGCTTGGACATTTCTTTGTTTGGAACTATACCCATCTCAGTTCAATGTAACAGATTGTTATCTAACAAAACTAAAAGCACATAACTTGTACAGAGACAGAAGAGGAGGAGGGGAAATGTCATAGCAGAAGGGGAATACTCTACAGTAATCAATATAAAAATGCAAAGCCAATTTAAAATTTGATCTGGATGTTATTAAATTGCCGATGTCTGCAATGACAGAGAAAATCATGCATAAAACTTAAGAGTGCAAATGTTCTTCAGTTTACTCAGAAAATGTAAAAAAAAATCTGACAAAGAAAAAGTAATATTTTTCAACCACTTGCTTGAAGTGTAAAGCATTACATGTTCAGCATTTTTTCAACAGTACAAAGATTAAACACATTTATAAGCTGCTGCAATATATTTTCCAATATTTGCTATATATTTAATCTACATTACACATACATTGGTTTCTGAATAAAACAAAATTTCACAAATATTACAAATTTGGTTCACAGACTCATAGCTTCCACGTCCAGCTTGCTACCCATATCTTTTTCTAAGGATCATTACATTCTCTAAACTTATTCTAGAAACGTACATACAGGGTAATCCTCAACTTACAATTATTTGTTTAGCAACCGTTGGAAATTACAATAGCATTGAAAAAAGTGACTTACAACCAGTCTTCACACTTATCAACCATCGCAGCATCCCTATGGTTAGGTGATCTAAATTCAGGCACTTGGCAACCAGCATGTATTTACAATAGTTGCAATGTCCTGGGTTCATGTGATTGTCATGTGACGTTCCCAGCCAGATTTGCTTAATAACTATAGTAGAAATGTTCACAAAATTGGGCATGACTCACTCTACAACTGTCTTGCTTTGGAAATGGAAGTTGTGGTCCCAACTGGGGTCATAAGTTAAGGACCACCTGTACATGTGGACGACACACTGGAATATCCAGTTTCATCTTTCTTGAACAATTTCATCTGAAAGCATATTTTTCTACAAAATATAATCAGAAACAATTATACTTTTAACTATATATGACATAGTGGTAGTAAACATGCTTAGAACGTGGAGGATGTCTGTAAATTTTCAGTGATTGTCAAATATATACACATTGATAAATAATACAAAATTAGTCCAGAACAGATAAAGAAATCAAACCATAAAGATGATTAAAGAAAGGTTCACATAAAAGAAGCCCAGTGTTATTGCCCTGGAAGTATAGGTTTAGTTCAGGGTTTCTCAGAAGCACGTTATGTGAAATGCAGTCCCTTCTACTGGGAAGCTGATTGCAAGAATAGCTAGAGGACGCAACTTAAAGACTCTGTTATAATATGGGATAGTACCAGTGATGGAGATAGCAGTTCACACCACTTAAATTATTTTCTAGTGGAAGCCCTGAACATTTTAAAAAATAAAGCTCTAGACCTCAAACAGCCACTTAACTGTTTCAATAGTATAATTATGACAATGTAATTTAAACTTTTATACATAGTGCAGACAGTTTTAAATGAATTTTAAAAAGGGTTTGTTAAATCTGTGCAGTCTTAACTTTATTCAACATAGGTAGCACAGCTTCTCTGCAGATGCAAAGACACAAATAGCAGATTATTAAAATTCTTACACTTTTAGAATGTGACATCTTATTATCCCTGCCTATTTTATGAAGTCCTATTTATTTTGAGTAGTCCTTGAGTAGTTTTATGGCTTTATAAATCCGTATTTTAAAGCATGGTATTATAAAAAAAATTGAAACGGCAAAAAAGGTAATTCCAAATAAATAAATCAATCTGCTGAAGAATTTTCAATTGATATTAAATTCTTCTTTGCCACCAACACTATCTAGCCCTTCTTCATTCTTTCATTGGCTCCCTAAGACCATCAACAATAGTTAGCCTTTGATTATATGAACAATTGATAATGATACAACTAAATATTGCCTTCATCTAGCATTTTGTTGACACCATCACAAAGCCTCTGGAGATGAGTCTTGTAAGATCCAAATGGATTATATAGGACAGCCAAAAATTCACAGTCCGAGAAATGATCAAACACATGATTGACACGTCCATGAGATTTTGCAGTGAGATGACGATGAATTATTTGATGAAGTAGATCTCTACAATCATTCAACAGTTTTGATAAAAAATTCCTGTCAAAAGTATAGTCCACTTGATAGAAGCTGACCACAGTTTTAGCCAACTGGTGAACCTTCTTTTTGAACTTCTCCATAAGTACAGTCTCTTCCTGATTAAACTGGTTATTCCGATAGAGGACTGCTAATTTGATAACAGTCTTAATAAGATTTTTAATTATCTTCTCAGCTTCCTTCTTATTTTGTATGTATTCTTTTGTCACTCGGTAGAGTTCATCCAACACATCACTGCTGGTGTCATCTATCAGAGCAGTTGCTATTGATTTGGAGGCCATTTTGCATAGAATTTTCTTTTGGGCCTGAATGGCCAAACTTTTGGAATTAAAGACATCTGTTGCCACTAGAAGAAAGCAAACAAATACAAATCAGAAATTTCAGTCATTTTCATGTGAGTTACAGTCGAAGCACTTTAAAACTACAAGGAAGAATAAAAGTACAATAACTATTTTAAAATATTTTTATAATGTTCATATATTTCCTGTGCAAACAAAAAGACAGTTTGATTCCACCCGATACAACTGCTAAAATATATTAATTACAAGGAACTATAGGAATATAAGTATTACTTTGTTTATTACACATGTAAACAAAGATTATTACATGAATATAAATGAACAAAGCTCTAGATACCTGTTTTGCAGATATTGAGATGCATTAGACCTAATACTATCATCTAAAGCATTGGTTCTCAACCTGTGGGTCCGGACCTCATTTGGGGTCGAACGACCATTTCACGGGAGTCGCCAAACAACGCAGTCCGCCATTTTTTTCCCCTTAGCTGTGCTACTCCCTTTTATTCTATTGGCCTTTGAAAGCCAATAGAATAGACTCTCTTGAATAGAGTCTAATTCTATTGGCTTTCAAAAGCCAATAGGAATTGTCCAGGCTGTCTCTGCCCTGCTGAGCCCGCCAAAAATCCCATTCTGCAAACAGTGCTGCACCAGTTGAGTAGTCCTCGACTTACGACCAGTTGAGTAGTCCTCGACTTACGACCGGTTGGGGGGGTTACAGCATTAAAAAGGTTGAGAACCACTGATCTAAAGAAGTAATGGCGAACCTTTTAGAGACTGAGTCCCCAAACTGCAACCCAAAACCCATTTATGCATCGTCGAGTGCCAGGTGAGTGTGGCCCATTGGCTGGGTGTGGCAATTGGGTGACCGTCACTGCAGTGGTAACAGCAGACTGGGTGGGACTAAAAAGTTCAAGCAATCAATTCCAACTTTGCAAGACCTTTTTTTTTCCCGTGAGAAGTTGAAATTGATTGATTCTTTTTTTTTTTTTTTTGCACATGGTGGTGGAGGCCTAAAGCGAAAAGGTTTTATAAAAACCAGCTGAAGGCCTAGGATTGGGGTGACAGTGCACGTGCCCACAGAGAGGGCTCTGAGTGCCGCCTCTGGCACCACCACTGATCTAAAGCTACATTTGAAAGACTCTTACAGATCAAATCCTGGAACTTGGAATATGTATAAGAAGTCTTAATACTACTCATCACAAAACTATGCTATTAAGCAGTCTAAACAATTTATTTTAATGCTCAATGATTTCACCAAGTTTATAATAGAATACTGTAGCCAGATTTTCACAAAAGTGTTTACTCAGATACCAAAGAAAATGTTGCAATCTATTATAAATACCGTATTTTCCGGCATATAAGACGACTCGGCGTATGACCCCCGACTTCGGAGAAGATTTGCATGGTTAGAAAGTCGTCTTATACGCCAGAAAATATGGTATTTTCTGGCGTATAAGATGACTCGGTGTATAAGACGACCCCCGACTTTGGAGAAGATTTGCATGGTTTAGAAAAAAAATAGACATATATTCATATGATCTAAATCAGGGATCCCCAACCACTGGGCCACAGACTGGTACTAATCCATGGCCTGTTAGGAACTGGGCTGCATAGGTGGAGGTTGAGTGGCAGGCAAATGAAACTGTGCATGTGTGGGATCATCCTCCTTCTCCTTCCCCCCCTCCAAGGTCCATCGAAAAATTGTTGTCTACAAAACCAGTCCCTAGTGCCAAAAAGATTGGAGACAATCTGCCCTAAATCCCACAGGTTTTCAAAGATAGCTAGTTCCTATAAAGAGTATTAGTTTTATGATAAATCAAAAGATTTACAGGCATTTATAATCCAATTTAATCCAAATATTTGATCCAAATGTTTAAAATGAGTTATTCTAAAATATCTGACATTTTTCAAAAAGCAATTCTCGCCAATTAAGTGACTGCTTTTTCTTCACATACTATGTACACATGTATAACTGACTTAAGGTACCTCTGTGCTTTTCACTATTTTGATTCCCCCCCCCACTATAATAAAATTCTTATAAAATTGCCTTCAAATGATTGGGATTCTAGTTGGTACACAAATCAGGAAATCTACTTTGGGTGGCAACAGTTACATATTACTCTCCCTTACACTTTATGCCTGAGTATTTCAGTGAAGCTCAGTATTACAGTACATTTCAGTTGGTCTTTCTAAATCTCTGCTGCATGTTGATTTAACATTTTCACTTCCTTGAAATAAACAGCCAAAGGAAGTACCTCTATTGAATAAAGCACTGAAATTTAAAGCAACAATTGAAAAAAAGACAGAACATTACTTTAACAGCTTGGCAAGACACATCAGATTTAACCAATTCTTTCTATAAGTTATCTTGAATCAATCACTCAATAAAATCTTGTTGTTTCCTTATTTGTTTTTATTCCTCCATTTGTGTTTTAATGTATATTTCACTGTAATTTTGTATTTATGAATGGCACATTAGATAGAGGTGCAAACTAATATATTAAAAATGTTAATACAATGCCTAATTAAATGGTCAAATCAATCAGTATGCTTTTTCTTCTGGACAGCCATTAATCATCCCAAAGCTTTATGTTTGTACTTCCTATATTATACAGTGTCTAGTATAGCAAATATTTAGAGGTTTGATGGTAAACACTTATAACAACAGCTCTACAAACCAGAATCAGGTATTAAATTAAACTGAAAGCCAAAGACTGAACACATCAAGTTTAACACTTCAATTTTTCTGAAAAGCCTCAGGGATTTGAATATCCAGCAGGTCCTTGCAGTAGGCAATGATTGTTGCCATGCTTGTGTTAATGCACATTAGGATTTATTGTTCTTAATTTTGAGATGCAGTTGCATTTTTATTTTGTTTTTATATTATTTGCAAGCCATTTAAAGGCTGTTTGGAATTGCAGTCAAACAAATAATTTTTAAAAAGTTTAAATGCCACAAGCAGTTAAAAAAAAGTGTTAACAAAAGATTAGTGGTTTTGTTACACAATTTTACTGGCATGATCTTAGAGCCGTAAAAGATGTAACCCACAAGCCACAATTGCCTAAATCCACACAGAGAGTGACTATACTGTGAGTAGCTACCCTTTTTTATGTTTCTTCCTTTTTGCTACTCCATATTCCTCCTCCTCAAACCATATATATCTATACTTCTCTTTCAGCACTATATGTTTATGATGAAGCATTCCAAGAAATGCATACTACAGCAATCAAGTTTGTCTTTCAAATAATGATTTTCTTTTTTTACCACGACAGCCTAAAATGTCATAATCTTTTCAGGTCAGGCAGCAGCTCTACAATTACTTCATAGATAAAGGCTACTAATATAAAACAAGCAGCATGAATTTAAGATTGTTTTATAAGAATAAGTATTTGACATGTCACTTATCTTGAGAAGTTTCAACCTCTCAAGATAATTCATCTGGATTAAGCCTGCTGCTTGTAAATCAGTCTCCCCCCCCAAAAAAAAAAATCAAATATCCCACAAATGTTCATAGTTTCATAAGAATAGGAACACTGTAGTTAATTGAAGCATCTTGGTACCCTGAAGAACTAATTCATTCTTATTTCACCTAACTGCTTCCATGGACAATAATTTACCACAAGAAATTCAGCAAACAACTGTTGAGAAGGTTAAGCTAAATATTTTATCCAGCTGCTAGCAGATTTATTGAGTGGGAGTTTCAGACTTTCCCTACGACTTACTGTTTCTCAATACAGATATTGCTTCAGAATACATATGGGAAAAAATGAGAATACTACATAAGCAGAACATTATGGAAATAAATCTTTATTCAGGAAAAGGAGGGAGAACAGGAAGGAGAATACAGAGAAAAATCAAGACTTGCTGTTTGATTCTTTTCTTCTGGCAACTCTGTTGAAGTCTGCCCTTTACTTCTCCACTTGAAAACCAAAGGAGATTGCGAAAGAAAATTGTGACAGAGTACAGAGTAAAACTAACTGGACACAAGAAGAACTAAAGAAGGAAGTTCTATTACAGAACCTGCTCATTATTTTTTTTTAAAAAAGACCATTTTCTAAGTATCACCAAAAGTCAAACAGCATCCACAATGAACTAAAGTAGTATCAACAGATTTGGGGGAACCCACAATGCTATTACCAAATAATACTATTGGAAAATTATGATGCTAAGGGCACATATAACTTAAAACAGTTCAAGGGTTCAGAGAAAATTTTAAAAAAAACAAGGAAGGTAAATAGAATATGTTGAAAGAGGGCATAGCTCTTTGACCACATAGAACACTTTTTCAAATTATTTTTGAACCTACTTGTCAGAAGTCTAATGGGTCAAAGATGTATCATATTCTTAAATATGTAGCTGCTATAGCAGATGTTATATAAATTTACTTCACAAGTACCTTTTCTGAACATATACAACACATGAACAAATAATGCAATTCTTAATTGTAGGATATACAGCTTGTTATATGACATAAGGTGTTCTAGAAAAATTAATAGTCTTATATAGCCTGGTCCTAATGGTAACAAGTCAGTTGCAGTTTATTATTAAGGTGAATATTTATGGCCTACTGAGGAAGAACTTCTTATATCTGGATATCTGGATATCTAGTTTATATACAATTTCATTTTTACCACTTGGCTGTTTCTTTGTAAGTTTTTACAACATTACAATTATTGCTGCTGACAATAAATCACAAGGTAGTAGCTATACATGTTTTTGTTTATCTGAAACAAACTAGTTCTGCTAATTGAAGGGAGACACAGACTATTAATAAAGTGAATACATTAGAAAACATTAGTTATGATTAGTTTCCAGTCTAGTAGCAAGGCGGGCAGTGTTAATAGAATTACGTATTTATAGTATGAATACATCTTTTAAAACACATATACAGGTAGTCCTTAACTTATGACCACAATTGAGCCCAAAATCTATGTTGCTAAACACTTAATTTGTTAAGTGAATTTTGTCCCATTTTATGACCTTTCTAGCCAGTTAAGTGAATCACTGCAGTTGTTAAGTTAGTAACATAGTTGTTAAGTGAATCTGG